TGTCGCCTCTGTTGGCGGAAAGAAAGGCTGATACAGCGGCGCGGCGGTGGTTTCGACCGCGGCCGGACCGCCGATAATCGACAGTGACCGTAAATCGTCAACAACAATAATAATAATAATAATAATAGTAATAATAAGAAAGAGAAAAACGACAATACACCGATCGAGAGAGGAAGAAAAAAATAAGACTCGGACGGGCGATAACACACGGTGACGCCGTATACTTACACACTGTTGTCGTGTATGGTAGGTACTGCAGTGCGTGCACACCTGTAAACAATCCGGCGAGGAGAACACCACAACGTGTTTTACGATATGGACGCCAGAAAGAGGAGGGGGGGGGGCGAAAATCGTATACAGGTATTATTATTTCGGAATTCAGACACGGATGCTGTACGCGGTGAGGTTAGATACTTTGTTTTTTTTTTTTTACCTTAACGTTATTATTATACACAGACATACAGGATGATTCATTAAGCACACACGTTTTCTCGATAATGAGGTACGAATGGGTTGGATTTGGTTTGTGTTATTTTTTATGTCGACTTTTAAAACTAAAACGATAAATCATGTATTTATTTAGTATTTTTAAATATTAAGAATAATTTGCTGGACATTTTGATAGGTCCCTAAGTAGTTTTGGATAATAACTTTGTAAGTTATTAGAGTTTAACATTTAGGACAGGGCAATCGAGTAATGCGCGCAGATAAAAATAATACTATACACTCCAGCCTTCCTCCCGTCATAACTTTAACAGCTTTAAAAGTAATTTTCCAAAACTGGTTATCGACCGGTTAACTTTTTCTGAAAATTATTTTGGCAACTTCTCGGAAAAGGTAAATAATTGGTAATTTTATAATACTGTAAAATAGCAAACATTTTTTCAAAAAGAAAACCCACATAATTGCAATAATTTTTAAGAAAAAACGAGTGCCTTAACCTTAATGAATCGCCCTGTATATTGCCATGATGCACCCTGTGGACGACGCGAACACACGGTTAAATCGTGATGCCGTTGAGATATTTGAAAACTAGTTGTGAGACGGCGGCAGATGAAGAGGCGGAGGAGTATACAATATGTATGGGAGCTATGTATGTAGGAGCTCTGGACGACACATACGGTATATAGTAATCATTTCTGCGATACAGACACCACACTCACCTGTGCACGTCCGTGTAATCTTTTCGGATGTATAATAATAATTTATTGTAGTACGGTCACACAGGTGGCCATCAATACGATTTTTTTTACAACAACAAAAATATAAACAGAATTGACGAATTAAGAACCTTCTCTTTTTTGAAATCGGATAAAAAATAGTCATGACTTCTATCATTTTTGAACTGGAGACCCGAAATTTTTAACACGTATCGAGTTCGAATGACCACATAAGCTGTGCAAATTTCAGACGGTTAAGTACATCAGATAGCGAGAAAAATAATTCATACTATCATTTAAAAAAAAAAATGTCTATAACACATTAAATAATAAAAATCAATAAATTTAAATGAGTATCATTGAATGAAATTGCAATAAATTTGTGTTATTATTATTAAAAGATAAATACCAGTGATGACACAGATTTTATTAAAATTTCACTCAATGTTACACACTCAAACGTATTATTGTTATTAATTATTTATTTTTTTCATACAAGTATTTCATACATATTTTGTATGTGAGTACGATATGCTGTTCATTCGAATCATTTTGTCAATGTAAATTTTATGTAACCTGATGATGGCAAAACACCTAAAGTAGTAGTTACCAATATACCAAATTTTAGCAATATAAATATCTGTTTTTTTCTGTTTGCGCATTGCTTCTTCCCAACACTCAATGTCTATGTTTTTACAAAATAGATATTAAATTTTATTATATTGTACAATAACATAAAAAAAAATATTTTCAAAAAGAAAAAGTACAAAATTGTAATTATTTTCCGAGAAATCGAGTGTCTTGCGTTAAATGGATCACTTGGTACTTTATAACTTAAGGAAAAATTTGGGGCATTTGACGCCCTCCTTTTCTCGGACCTAGTGACGCGTTATAGAGCTTTAGCTAACATACACCTAGTTACTTAGCCCCAGTGTACCCTGTATAATTGAGTACTGCAAACGTACAGGGGGAAAAAACGAGTACATTATACATATTATTATAATATTATTACCGTGTGTGTGTGTGTACTATAAACCGACTTGCGACCTAATTCCAACGCTAGCCGATAACAGCCAACGATAGCCTATTATAGAGTGTAACTTTGTATCGTGGAAACGTGTAGGTACACTAAAAACAGAACACAATATAACGTTTTAGGTCTGGTTGTAGCTGATTCAATCACGAGGCTGGTGTGCAAGCGCACACAACGTTCTATATAAATTATATTATGCATGTATATACATATAATACGAATTTAGCATTAAGTAGTAATGGTAGTAAAGCGAGTAGTTTGTGCTGTTTTTTTTTTTTTTTTTGTGTGCGCCTGTTCAACTGGAAACAGATATATTATTTGCATCGGTCGGACGACCTGGAGAAGAAGCACGCAGGAATTCGTTATTCTCAAGTCCTATCTAGGGTTACCGCAATACACCTTGAAATATTACAACCGTCTAACGGTTACCGTAGTTATTATTATTTTTTATTTTAAATTTTATTTTTTATTGTTTTGCTGAAAATTATAATAATGCTTGTGCGATTTCCCACGGTGAACAAAACTCGAAAATAAACGTTCGCTTGTTATTGTTGTGTTAAGAGTTCTTAAATAATATACATATATAAATATTATATATTATTAATAATAATTACTAGATGTTGAACAGTGTAAAATATAGAGTGCAAAAGTGTTAGTCATCCGCTGACGCTGTTAGTACAAAAATCATCAGTTATAAATGTAATATTTTTGTATTCGTCACACGTTAGAGTAATGGACGGAATACAAATTTTAACAATTTTAAAAATTAATTTACCAAACAACAGGATTCGTGAAACACGACTTTTAAAATTTAAGTTTTGTAAAAAAAAAAATAACACAAAGAACATTAGTGATAAATATTTCTATGTAAAATAAACGAAAATAGCAAAATATAACAGTTATGCGACTGCATCAACTAACTATAGAGTTGATAAGGCCATGCTAATAAAATAATAATAATATGTTAGATAAAACACACAACGATGACATTAAAATCGTGAGGACAAAAAAAAATAGAATTTACACAATATCGCTCAATGGCAAATTTTCCAATAATGTTCCTCATTCTGCCTCGTCCTTCACAGCCGAGTGACTTGCTACAATTAAAACCCTCTCCACCATTAAGTCCTTAGCTGAGGCAATAGAAATTTCCTTATAGTTTCTGATTGTCAATCATGTGACATGGCTATAAATTCTTTTCCATTAGTATCTTCTATCTCCTATCTCGTTCTTCAAATCCGTTTAAGTATTTTGTCTTTCCCTAGGTTTGGTTATAATATTCTGTTTTTATGGGTACCCAATCATACTGGCGTCAATGGAAATGATATCGTAAATTTTCATAAACATTATTTCCTCGCCGATCTTGATTCATTTCTCGGACTGAAATTCATCCCTCAAGGCTTACGTTCTTGGAATTTTTAATGGAAAAACCTACCTACGTCCATTGTGGTTTCTTTTTGTTCACTCTGCCCTTCTGTCCTATATTTTCCTTGGTTTTACAATATCCTTTATCTCTCGCAAAATGGTAGTTTCCTTCCTAGCCATAGACATAATCGCCTTCCAACTTACTGTTTTTATTTATCTCTAAATGATTTCCCTTATTTTCCCCGTCATGATGGGGTTTATCTTTGTCTCATCTTATTTTTAAATGTTTTTTTTCCTAAACGACAATTTCTCTCTAATTTTAGTCATAATATTAATATTCCATTTTCCTTTTCTGATATTATTCAATCCTCTGACATATTTCTTATTTCTTCTATTGACAATTATATGTATCTAATAAAATACAAATATAAATATTTTCAGTGAAAAATAGTGTCTTGTCCTTAATATATTACCCCGAATACACACGGTTTTGGAGTTGCATCGTTTGGACTCTACAAAAGATAACGTTTCTTGTAGGTATCATCATATTTTCGAATAGAGATTTAATGAAAAGGGTCGAAAAGTACTTGCGTTATTTTATCTTTGACGTGTACCACTCGTCTCTTTTTGATTTTGTTATCGAGTTGGAAACTCAAACTGACGGCGGTATCTCTGCATTACCCGTGTAAATCGGTACAAATGACAGTGACGTTTTTACCGCATCCACACACAACCCTATCGCAGCCTTATTAGTGAGAACCCAAACAAAATCGATACCTATCAAAATGGGTTAAAACCATAATATATATACAATTCTACGATATTATAATACCCATCGTTAGTAGCCCGTAAGTCCAACGACCGATATAATTATTCATAGCGGATATTTAGATTAACGACGAGAATAACGGGTCCAGAACCGATCGCGCTTAAAAATTAAAAATAAACAGTACCGGAAATATAAAAATATGATGCAAATTCACATCCAACTGTCAGGTGGCTCTCGCGGTTGTTTAACCCGATCCCCAGACGTGTAGTTTAGCAGTGGGTGGGCACGTTTCAATGCCAATCCGTGACTTGTAATTACACGGGTTCCAAGTGTCTAAGCAGCAGTAGTAGTCTTTGCAAACTAATAATAATCATACAAAGTATATAATTAATAAATAATAAGACACTAACGGTCAATGACATCGACAAGACCTAGTCGCCACTATTCGCTACATTCTGGTTAAACTAGCTGGTACTGTAAAATTACCAAACCGATCTTGTTTTTTTCTATTTTAAACAGTAAATATGATAATATTTTTTTTTATTCCGTCACTTAAAGTTCCGTTTGCGAATCAACGTAACTGTAATACACACACACAATTCGACCCGCAACACTCTGAACACAAACGCATTAGGAAAATAGTAAATAATAATAAACGCTCGTATTGTTATAGCTGTTGATGTTTGTTCAAGTCCCAGAGTGTATTTCGATCCGGTGAATTTCATCATGGAAATCCGGTAACCGTTCTGGAAATGTGAATGATAGTAAGTAATGCCTCTGGTAATGCCCTATTTTGTCCGTGTGTGTGTTTGTGAATTATTATTTGTTATTTACAAATAAAACCCAATTGGTTCGCAACGGAGGCACTTCCAAAACGGGCAAACTGCCTCGCCCACCGAAATTTAATCAAATCAATTTTGTGGAAATTCGATACGCATATGTTATCACCAAAAACCAGTAGCCCACGTTAAACGTTGACGGTTAGCGGAAGAGCAAATTTTCCATGCCTCATAACTATTAGTTTAAAAATATTAGTAACATCCTGCATCCATAAATCAAAATGTGACCAAATAATTACCTTATTTTAGGCTGATTTCATAATTATCAAGAAAAATAAAACAATGAGGTTTTTTAAATTGTTCTTATAAAATTCATACTACCTACTTAAAAAACCATTAAACTTTTTCATTTTTGTTTTATAGACTTCGTAAAATATGTTTACACTTTGTAATTTATTGTACAACATAAATAATTTTGCTTCTGACAATAATACCATTTTTTTGCTCACAATCGATCTAGTCTTATATGTTATTATATACCTTAGTAATTATTAATTTAAATTTAGGTAAATACTGACATGATAAAAAATAAAATTGAAAACAAAAAGTAAGGTCTGATATTCAAGCGAAACCGAACACAACATTCGTTTAATTGGACTGCAAATACTTATCTGGAAAAACGTTAAACGCATATAAATTTCAGTATTACTACGGACAAAACACACAAACAGCCTTCGCTATGCTGTTGAATAAAATATTCTGTTAAAAAAAAAAATATTAGTAGTAATCTAATCGCCTCACGGCGAAACTTGTGTATTTACAACACTACTCGATGAGAATATTATTAAATGATTACTGTTATCTGTAATTCAACGTTAAAAATACAAACACATATCACTACGGAAATAATTAATGTGTATAAACGAATCGTTAAAAAAAAAAATACCGCACAAGCGATTAAGGACAATTCCGTTGATTGTGAAACCGTTAAAGATAGTAATAATAATAATTGCACTCTCTCGACCGATTGACACAGACTATGGCCTTATGTAATTTATAAAAAAAGTATTTAAAAACAATAAAAATTCCATTACTTAGTCGCGAGTCCGGCTTAGCGTTTTTTTTTTTTTTTTTTTTAATTGAAACGAACTTTCTGTTAATTTATAAACGGTTTGTCTACAAACGGTTTATCGCGTTAATAGTATAAACGCTTTGGTTTTTTTCTATTAAGGATAACTTAGATAAATATATCAATTTTATTTTTGTGCCAGACAATAATTAATAATGACCAATTGAGAGAGAGAGACAATGATCGTGGTGTTACGCAAGTTGTATTGTCGCTCTCACGTGAATAAAATTATATCTCGTTATTGTTGTAATAGTAATAATTATATAATGAGACCGTTTTTAAAGTGTACAGGAAACCCCTGGTGCGATTAAAACACACACACCAGCATTCCCATACGGTTCTGACGAGGTATCGGTTTTCGTTTTTTTTTATGCGGGCAAGGATTAATCATATGTTATATCATACGGTTTAGTAAAATTATATTCATAATATTTCACACACACACACACTGAACGATTACGATATGGCAATTCAGCGATATTATTTAGCTTTGAAGGGCTGAAAAGTTTTTTGTTTTCACAAAGATTTTTTTTCGTATGTCTTTCCTTTATGATTTCCCAGATTTAAAAAAAAAAATAATCAGACTTTTCCAGGTTTCCCAAAGTCGTGGCAGTCATAGAGCTATTCTCTCCGGAACACCTTAAAGTTTTCAATTCATTTAAGACACTTTTTTTTTTTGTTGTAGATTTTGCTCGGAACTTTCTACCAAACACTTGGTTTTTTTTTTCATCTGCATTTAGAAGACACCTGTTACATCCCCGTCGCCAATATGCTGACTTTTTTTTTACTTACTAACAAAACAAAAGAGAGGGCCAATACGAATAACGCTATATTCATAACAATCCGTTATTGTTCGGATGTGATAAATGCAAGAATGGACGGTTGTTTATTAATAAAATGTTTGTATTTATTATATTTAAAAAAAAAGTAATAGAGACGAAGAAACGTTTTCGTTACTTGGACGAGTCTCGATTTTCACTCGCGTGTAATTAATTATCACAGATACTAAACAAAAATATAAATAAAAAACACACATACATTAATACACTCATGAGAGATGCAAATCATCCAATGTATCACACCGTCGGATCGGTCGTGCCCCTTTTACTTTCGCGCGAGATATGCAGAATAATTTATCTACCTACCACAATATTAAAATATATTACTTATTCCATTATGTACCTAATATATATGTAGGTATGTATTAAGATAGACGACCGCCGTTCACCAGTAGGCAAGCTTATAAAACATAATTTAAAAAAAAACATTAAAAAGAACAAGAGATGAAAAAACGGTGTGCAAAAAACAGTGTAGGTTGCGGAATCCTTAGAAAGCATTTACAATATACAGGGTGATCCATTTAACGTAAGACACTCGTTTATTAGGGAAATAATTACATTTCTATGGGGTTTTTTTTTGTTGAAAAACATTTTTTAATTTATGTTATTCAACGGTATTGTATAGTTATTTAGTAAGTTAATGCTCGGTAAGTATCAACCGGTCGGTGGACTATGAAGAAAAAAATGTACACAGTAAAAAGTATCGTACGGTCCACCGAGATTTTTTTATTTTTATTTGAAGACGTGTATTATTGGCATTGTAAAATGACAAACTCTTTAATATTAGTTGACAACATATAAACAATACTGATGTTTACGGTTTTTTTTTTTTTTACATTTACTATTTACAGTCGTAGCAGCTCTGGACATAGGTGCACACAGTATAGTGTTTTATTCGAGTTTTTTTTCGATAAACGTGTTTTGTATTTGTACCACAATGGCGTTTGACCCGGACAAGAAATGTATAAACGAATTGACCATATTTTCTTCAATGGTGTCTTACTGAATTAATAATAAACGATAAAACAAGACGTGATTTTCTATCCATAGATAGATGTTCAATTCAACCGCTGTTCATTTGCCTCCAATTCTCGAAAATTATATTCTTTACAACTACAACTATAAAAGTAGTTATTCAAAAATGATTACAAAAATACGTATGAAGTAACTAATAATTAGGTATAAAGCACGAAGAAGAGTAGTTTTAAAATAACAAATTTCTTTTAAGATATTGACTGGGTCATAGTTAATCAATCATCCTCTGTACATTAACATCAATAAAAATGTTTATTTAAAAAAAGCACTTCAAAACAATAATAAAATATAAAATATGCCATTTTTGAGCACCACGTGGTTCACTATTTTAGTCACTCGACAACTAATTTGATAATTATTATCATATGTTTATTTAAAGGTCAGTTATGACTACGGTTTTTATCACTAAGAAAACATAACTGCATTGTGTACATACAAATAAATCACTCGGTTCAAGTGCAATACAGCACACGCAAAACAGCTGTCATAAGCCGCCAGACTTGGATCATTATTTTAATGTTTGTTTACAATAATTAGTATAATACAATTATACATTAATATTTTTTTATTTTAGAATCGATTGCTATATATTTTAAAAATGACTAAATTTAGTTTAAGAAGCCAGAAGGGATGAGAACCAAAAAAAGTACAAATATCGTTTTTTTTTCAAAAAAAAACAAGTATTGACCCTACAATAATTTTGTCAATACAACCTTTTTTCTATCAATATTTGATTACAATTTGTCTCTTCATTTTTGCAAATTATCCACATCGCCCACACTGAATTAACATTTGAAAATACAGGTAATTTCCAAAACACATTTGAGAACTGATCATAAAATATATTTCTTTCGATGATTTTTTGACAAAAACCCGACATGATTACTGTCGTCCAAATAGAAATTGAACGTACCAATAATAAAGTAATTCAATTGTACCACAAAGTAAAAGTATGTTCCACATGTTGTAATTTAAAAAATCTTCTGTGACTAATTTATTTGTTAAACTTGTAACATGGTTGTTATGGTAGTTTTTAAGAACTCTATAGGATTTGTATTTACATTCAGTTCATTAGTCCTAATTTGATCGTTTTTAAAATACAAAACATTTTTTTGTATTCTTCACGGATGGGAACGGAAAATATTCAAAACATCTTCAACAGAAAATTAAAACAAAATTTTACACACTTACAAACATACACAAAACTGAAAAAATTCATGTTTTCCATCTCTTTTTTTGAAAAATGTTGAATTTCTATTGTTGTTGTTTAGGAAACTAACAGTTATGTAAAAAAACGCTTGAAATATAATTTTTGGATTTTTCTTTCTTAAAACATTTGAATAATAAAATTTTTTCAACTATCAAAAAAATATCTAGTAAAAACCTAAACAACTTTAAAAATTAAAATTGAAACTGTACTTAAGAATTGTACATTCGAAGCATACCAAGGGTGTGTTCTAAATTGAGCAAATCAAGCTAGTTTAACAGACATTTAAGAAGATAATCGGATATATTATAATATGTCAGCTAAATAATAACCCTCATATTTTGTGTTAATTTTGATTAAATTAATGAATTTGATGAATACAATTTCATACAAATTTAAGCAGCAATATAAACCAAATTATAACAATAATACATTATAGACAGCAAGCGCTACACCATATATTCTGAATAATTAAACTAATCTGCCGGTGACGACAATTTAACCTAATGTGGTACACCCGGATAAAGTTTAATATTCAATGGCTAGAATTCCGGCTATTACTATTCTGAATAGAGAATACATGCAAATATGCTTGAAATAAATTATATTTTTATCATTACAGTGTTCAATAACAACTAATTTTAAAGTTAAATTTTAGATTAACATTATTGCAAAACAATGAATTGTTGTGGAAAATAATTGAGAAATATTTTAATATGATAATTATAATGAACAAACTAATAAATTTGATACATAATAATTGACCAAGTTAAGCATATAACATTGTTACATAAAGTAAATTCAATTTTCAACTTCATCAAGTGGATAACACTAATCACTTGTGTGAAAAAAGTTACTCAACAAGATCAACGTATTTTAAAAATAAATTAATTTTTAAAACTTTTGGTAATCATAGGAAGATAGAAAATGTATTTAGAAAATGCAATTAGAATTTCAAAAATCCACAAATTAGCTTACTTTTCTAAATTATAATATACATTTTTACAAAAATGATATCACTGTAAACAAGCTGAACGGTTGTTTCTTAAAATATCCGGTAAGCCGGCCGGACAACAGTGCTCCGTAGCGGTAAACATGCACACTTTTAACGAGTTGTGTATATTTTGTAAAAATTACTTTCGTTGAAAAACCAATGGTTTTAATTAATTTGAAAAAATCAAACATTTCGATCAATATAAAAAATTACACACTATCATAACGCGAATATATAGATTTAACATTAGAAATGCTCTTATGATAAAAAGTACGTCTTATTACTCGTTTTTCAATAAGCTTGTGAACTGTACAATAAACTGTTGTAAGATAAAAAATAAATGAAGACGAAGAAACCTCGATTATGATAATAATAATATGTAAAAGCATAGTATGCATGTCAGTCTGGACTCACAATTTATACTTTGACCCGAGACGTTAGATAAACTTTTATAGTCTATTCACTCGATAGACAATACTTTGAAAAAATAACCGTATTACCTTCGACTCGAAGCCGAGAATGTAGTTTTTTTCCTATACATTTTTCTACTGATGACTTGATTTGATAAATAAAAATTCAAAAATAGGTAGTTTCAAAATTAAAAAAAAAAAAATACGACTTTGGTTGTATCAATGGTTTGTATTCGATGCGGTGACATGTCTTTACGAGACAACGATCGATCGGGCAGGACAACGACGACAAGCGATCGGAGCCAACATAAATTCAAATTACCGTTTTTTTTTTTTTGGGGGGTAGAGGGATGAATAGAGAAGACATCCCCGAGCAAAGCTCGATATTGTTTTTGAAAATCAGCATACATATTAATATTGTACTTACGGTTTTTTTTTTTCAAACTGTTGCTTTGGCCGAAAATCCTAGGGATCACATAACCGCTCTAGGTGCTGCTACGTCTAGTCCACGAGTATCCGTCGACACATGACCGGGCCGAAAAAAAAAATACAACACCGATGCACTTCACTACACCTAAAAAATAGGAGTCTTGGGGGGGTTTCTTTTTTTTTAAATTAATTTTTTTTTCCTCACAAAACGTCGTTCTGTTTATAAGCGACGACCGTGTAAACACACAAACGCACAAACACACACACACACACACACACACACGAGCCAGCGGCTAACGAGTTCGACGCGCCCGCACAGACGATTAGCCCGTGTTGAGTGTTCTGTTTTGTGTTCGCCCGAGTGCAAACAACTGACAACGGGTGATCGACGGACGGCACCGCCATCTAGTCGGCCGCCACCGGACTTTCGACCCGCTTACAGTGTGACCACGTGCAACGCACGAATGCGGAACGTACGGTAATTCGCGTCGCGGCGGCGGCGGCAGCCGATTTCAGCGTTCCTTCGTTGTGCGGGCCTGTAGCAGGAGCGTTAAAGTTAAACAGTTTAACTTAAACTTCAAAACTTGGAATAATATCAAATTCGAATAAACGTAAGTATATTATACTATATTAATTTTACGAACAAAATAGATTTAATATTTTATGTATATTTGTTTAGTCAAAAATAAGATAAAAATGAATGAATTAGCTGTTATAGAATTAATTCCGTTCTTCTTGATGCTGATGCAAACTTTGGTACAACTTCATCTGGTATGTCGTTGTAAGAAAAGCTAAAGCAAGCTGTCGATTTTCACTTGACCTCAAGTATGTTTTAATGCCATTATATTCAACAAGAAGTTATAACGCATTTGACGGTCTTTTATTTTTTTCTATTTTTAGCCATTTTGTTTTCCAAAGCAAAAACTCTTTTTTTAAAAGCACCACTATCAGGTAATACAAAATTATAATATAATTCTAAGCATTTTCCAGGCAGCTCATTTAATATTTCGTAAAAGTTGATGAGCTGTAGTTGATGTTTCTTTATTCACTGATTTTTTCATGCATTCTAATGCAACTAACAATTGGAATAAACATTTATTTAAACCGTTTAATACAGTCATAATACGGATTACCAAGGCAAGCCCCTGTTAGTCCGTTGAAATTGTCAAAAAATGTTTGTAAAGAGGACGCTATACCCCTATTATATATATATTTTTTTTAACCGCTGTCAAGGATGCTGTGATAGTTCTAAAAATAATTTGAAAAAAAAGAGTCCTAACTTCAGAACTAATAATTACACATCACAGTTTAAGTTGAGATTTTGTAAACCAATTGCCTATAATTTACTTCTTAAAATGGGCAGTGTGGCGTCCTGTTAATGGGATTGAAAGCGGCCTGGTTTTAAAGTGTATTATATAGGAAAGGGTTTAAGGAAAAATGGAGTCTTAATGAATTTCAACCATGTCAATTTAGGCCGAAAAATTACTTAACTGCCAAAAAAAAAGTGTCTTAATTACTGAACTAACAATTACGCATCACAGTTTAACGTTTAAACTAAAATTTTGTAAAAAAAAATTGCCTATATCTAGCTCCTTAAGAAGTAGGTTTTCAACGAGATGTTGAAAAACCAAAAAAAAAAATCAGCGCCTTATAAAATATAGATAGGCAACCTAACTTACGGTATATTAGCGGTTGGGGCTATATTGTCGCTTTGTTGTAAAAAAGTATATTAAGTATCTTAATTTCTGAAACTATCTTTTCCATATTTACAATTTTTGCCAGTCCACTTAGTGACTAAAGATGTGTGTAAAGACTAAATAGTGAATTATCTATTCGGTTTTTTTTTATTTATTTACCCGTTTACTTGAGTTATAGTATATTTGATTAGTTAGTTTGATCGATATCATGTTCACTCTATTTATTCAGAATATAATAATTTTATTTTTATTTTATCATAATATGTTAAAGGGTTGGGTTTTGTTTATTTCGGGCGAAAATAACCCATTATAATTTTAACCGTACTCTAAATGGGGTAATCCGACAATATTTTTGAAAACAGATATGGCTTTTCCAGTACTTGCTTGAAGCTTTTATAAAGAAGGTAAAGGAAAAATAAATGTATTTAAATATATATATATATTATTTTAATTAATTTTTTTTTATAGTAATATTATAAACGATACGAATATATTAAAATAACTTTTAAAAAATATCTTAATTATGATTATGTTTATATCACTGTAAATCAGTTTGTTTCTGTACTATTGTCCTCTGATACTTCAGACGGTAACATTTCAGCTGCTGTGTCTAACAACGTGGTAACATGTATTTTGTTAGCTTGACTATACCACGAAGTCTTCGACATTACTCCAATTAAATAAGTTGAACCAGGTTTCAGGTCGTTTATCTAAAAAGTAAATAAAAATGTTTTTAATGAGTAATTGTTTTTTTTATTTAAGGCTGTCGGAGCCGGTACGATTTTAGTACCAAAAACATGTCTCACTGGAAAAACTCTCACGTCCTGTAGAATAGTAGGATTTTAATCGTTTTTTTTTTTTATTTGAAAGGTGAAAACTTTTTGCAGTTCGACATATTTCCGAGGCGTGAGAGTTTTTCCTGTAAGAGCATTTTTGTTAATTTAAATCACTGTCAAGAATACTGTGATAGTCCGAAAAATAAATGAACTGCCAAAATAGTGTCCTAATTACTAAGCTAATTATTACACATCACAGTTAAACCTAAAAGTTAAGAATTGGCAAAAAACATTTTTTTCGGCACCGACACCCTAAAGATAAATTTGAAAAGTTTATTACCGTGTAGTTGTATGTTGGCAATTCTTCAGTCACTTGTAACTCCATAACCGGAAAACTTGCACAACACGAATCAGCATCAACAGCAGATATTTCTTCCACATTGATTATGAACGAGTTTAGAGCACCGTTAAACACCCAAGGGATGTCCCATTCGATTGTCACGTTTTTGGTGTCAACACAGATTGCTTTAATGTTTTTTGGTTCGTCTGGAGCTATTGGGAAATGCAAATATAAGGACGACGTAGTAAAATAAATATTTCTTATCACTAGAGATCAGCCGTTCTAGATTTTACTGTTTTGCAATTAACAAAAAAAAAAAATATGCATTTTACATACATCCATCCATCGTATTAAAGTTAATAGATCCCGGCAGTCCTCCTGACGGGTAATCTACAGACTTCGCTAAAACCTATCAAACATAATAATATGTTATATAGTTTTGTTATAACACAATATGAAAAAAATAAATGTATGCGTGTATCTCAAATACTTTAATTGTATATTGGGTACTGCGTGTCAAGTTATCGACCGTTGTGCAGTACATCGTAGGCCATGCTTTACATTTAAGCGGTTCTATTGTCTTTTGTTTCACATTTGTTTTTTGACTGTCTGGGTTTGCTTGGATTATAAAACCGTTCACTTCAGTATCGTTGCGATAGTTCCATCTCAGACCAATTTCTCTAGATTTCGGGTTTTTTTTGTAGACGGACAACTCCTCTACTGGCGGTAAATCTAGAAAACAATTTAGACTTTTGAAAATATATACAATACTCACATTAATTGAATATCTTCATAGACATTAACTCGCATTGTCTTGCAATTTAACGAAATATGTTTACTAATTTATAACAATTAACAACATACACTTTGATTTGGTTTTAAAAGGCACTAACAACGCATAGTTCACGTTGAACCCTTTGTCGGTTTTTATGTATACTCTTAATTCGTAATCGGTAGTGGGATTTAAATTAGTATATTCTACTGCGGTTTCCTCCGTTTCTTTTACTGTTTGTGTCATGTCCATTAAATTCTGTAACATTATAACGATATAAACTTTTGTAATACTAAGTGTGTAATCAAATTTCTAATTTCTTACCTTAAGCACTATGTGGAAACCCGTTACAATTCCGTTTAGCTTGTTACATTTTTCTTTATCCACATACCACTTTATCAAAGCAGTTTGATTATTCACATATATCGGTTGGCTAACGTCTAAAACTGGCGCTAAACTAGGAGCTGTAATGTAAAACAAAACAAGAATTAACATCTTTTCTTTTGACACCCGATTGAATGTATAATAAAAGCATAATTACTCGATGTGGTTGTTTTTCCGAAAACCGTATTTTCATTTGGGCCGTATGTGTAACCAGTTGTGATCGGTTCTACTTTTATGATGTACTGAGTATTGGGAATTAAATCCAGTATATTACATTCCGTTTTATTGTCAATAACTATTTTGGTCCAATTACTATCGACGGTTCGTCGAGAACAACTATAATGTCGGTTGATCTGAAAATCAATAGTTTGAGTAAACTAATCAAAGGAAAATGATATAAAAAAATAAATATTTTTAAACACACCTTGTATTTGATCATGTAAGTTATAGGGGCATCTATATCGTCATTATTCAAGTCCCATGTTAAATGTAAAATCGTATCGGAGTCAATTGTATTAGCCGTGATGTTTCTGATACTGATGTATCCTGCAATCAATAAAAAATTACATTAAAAATAATTTATTTCTTGTTTACTCGTAGTAGGTAAATATGTTTCTCTTGAGTGCTGACCTTGCACGTCTGTGGTTTCATAATATAAATCTGAAGGTTCGGTTGGTCCAAATGTTGTGATTGCAGAGACTTGAACAGCGTAAGTATGACCCGGTACTAGATTGTAAAAATCGTACTTATTACTTGAAGTATATGCAACTTCATGCAGATTTTTTTTCTGGTTGAATATTAATTTGATCATGTAATTTTTGATCTCGCATTCTAGGATATCTTTTTTGTTGTACTGTAGAATATAAAAATTGACGTATTAAATAAAAACAATTTTTCTTTTGACTGTTTAAAGTCCGTGTGTATACTGTATACCTGTTATTTTACTCGTTAATTGTACTAAAAGGGCTCAGCCCGTATATTCATAATAAACAAATAAATTTATGAATTATTATTTATTTGTTTGTGTTTGCCGAAGCCATAGCCCATATGCTAATAATAATACTGTAAAGTATAAACTTAGAAATAAGAAATATACCTAATCTAGCCGTTTTATGTTATTTGTTAATGAAATTTAATACAAAATTATATTTAATAATAATAACGAATCTAATATGGTATGGTATAAATCTGGAAAATAGAGAAAACTATCTAGACTAAGCTACACAAAACATCTAAAAAAATACACAACTATAGCTACTAAGAAAGTGTCAGTATTTTACTACATTTCGTATAATCATTAATTATATTACCTTTTCCCAAGTGACAGTAATGTTCTTGGCGTCCTTAGCAAGTTTTAGTCTGTAGTCTATGTTCTTAGGGACTAAAAAAAACAAACAACATTGCTAATCTTAATTTTTAATTAAAAATGTTTATTGTGAACATTGAGCCTACTAATCATTAGTGTAAATGAGCTAAGGTTATTATTTAATGGTTTACTTAGACATTGAGTTTTGTAGCTTTTAGTGTTTATGTCCTCATCGTTAAAATTTCCGTCGTTTGTTATTACAACGGCCCCAAACGTATATTCAGTTCCCAGCAATAAATTGTCGATTTTTTCTATGTTGTAGTTAGAATCGCCAATTTTTTTAATATCCAAAATATCAAAATTTGAAGTGCTAGTCGCTTGCTATTATGAAATAGATATATTATTAGGTATGTCCGGAATATTATTCAGAAAACATTAGCATGTCGTGCAACTATTTTATTAACATCGTCTTGATAATAATAAATAAATCAAAAATCACAAGTTCATGGGTAAATTACATACCTTGTAAACTATTTGATAGTATAAAGGAGTTTTCTGTTTGCTTCCGGCGATATTATTAATCTCAAAACTTACATTTAATTTAACAGAATTATAATCAGATGAAACCAATTGCGGAGGAGTTATTAGCCACGGATATTCTACAAGAATAGATATTTTATTGCATAAATATTATGTTATTAATATAAAAAATAATAAAATAATTTTACTTTCAGTGCAGTTTGGTAAAATGAAATTATTTTTGCATCCACCAATGCAAACGCCCGTATAGATATCGCACGAATTACAATTTTCTCCGCATTTTTTTTGGCAATCTCGACCGTACGTTCCCAAAGGACATTCTGTAATATTTAATTTTCATAAAAATCAGTATTAACCTAGCATTAAAAGGTTCAAAATAAATACTTTGGTCACAAAATTGTCCGGTATATCCTGAAGCACACGAGCATCCATAACGTGAAGTACAAAATAGCATGCGTTGACAAAACGTTTCCCGAGTCGAGCATGTTCCAGAACAGTCAGAACCAAATTTGTTTTTATTGCATTCTAAAGTAATTAAAAGGTTAATATCAGTCCACTATCTTTATATTACTAACTTGTTCACTTCACCTTTGTAAACAAGAGTCGGAATCAGCTGATTTTGAGCCTATAAAAATGTACAATTGTATTAAACCAACAGTACAACATAGCTATAGGTTTAATCGTTTTTTATGTTGCAAAGAATCATAAACTAGATTTAGCGCAATAAAACTGGTCTATTATAATGGTCTGTAAAATCAATTAGGTTTTGGACAACTCGTTAAAAGATGTTTTTTGTACGCTTATAACAATTTTTTAAACACGGGCACCGGTTTCGTTGTTTCCCAATTATTCGTTAAAAGTTCTGTACATAAAAAATGTATATGTTAGAGCAACAATTAGATGATGATATAAAATTCAACATGTTTTTCATTTTAGAATATACCTTCTCTTATAAACACCGTCCATATATATTTTATAAGTTCTATGTAGGTTAAACATAAAAATGGTAAAACTAAAAGTTTCGTTAGGTGTGAACTACGGTAGTGTAAACTATAATTAAAAATCAGTGGTTAGAAGAAACAAGTTCACATTATGTCACTTTGGAAAAGTGATATTAAGCATCCAGACACACATCGCAGTTCGCACTATCATTACATTAGGGTAGTATCTCAAAAATTTACGATTTTAACATTAATTCTTATATTAAAAATCACGTTCCTTGCAATAAACTAGCATAGAAAGTCAAACTGTTATAAATGAACGTGTTAAACAATGAAAGAAAATTGTTTTATCTTATATGTGTATGTATATGTGAAACAAAAAGAGAGTAACTACACTAATGTTCTGATAGTGCGGTATATTGTCATATATCTGTAGAAATAATAAAATATTTATATTTCCAACCTTGTCGTTTATAAAAGACGACTAAATGTATATATTTCAATTTTAACTATAACAGAAGTAACATTACCATCTAGTTGATAGATGTTAGCTGAAAGGGAAGAAACTTCAGTTCCGGATATTTTGTAGACTTCTTCGTCTACAAAAAAATAAATAAAAATAAGTGCATATAAAGTTATATAGTATATATATATATATATTATATTACAATTACTGTTTAAAATGACTTCAACAACTCGTTTTAATCAGTATTGTCGTTTACTTACCTTCATTGCATTGAGCTATTCTCTTAAGTCCAAAATATCCATCGTTATACCCATCATATTTTAAGGTAATAACTAAATGATAAGTATTTTTTCTTAAAAATAATTCGTTAGTTCGCAATATCAAAGTTTTCAAATTGGCCTATAAAAAAAGCAGGTCTTTGTAATGTGTCATTTAAATTATTTTAATTGTTGTTATTGTGGTAAATGACACAAAGTAAACAATACTAGCCACGTGTTTTAAATTACCTATTAGATGAAAAAAATTACATTTAAATATTAAGGATAAACAATTTTTTTTAGATTGTACTACTGATCAAAAAGTGGTAGTAGGTGTGATCATAAAAAAAAACCAGTACAGATAGGAGTCGTGACATAGTGGGCACGGAGCACATTGTGGCGCGGGAGGTCCAGGTTTATATGAATTATTACAACTAAAAGTGATAAAATCACTTTCAAACAAACGCTGCGATGTGATTTTGTAATGATGAAAGTACAAATATCGATAAAAGCATTGTACTTAAGATGACAATAATGTAATTCAAATTAAAGTATTTTTGGTATTAAGGTGGATACGATAAGGGTTGATATTCTATCTAGAATAATTTATTCCCATATAGTGACCTATATATCATAAAACCTAACTCGTTGACTGTTTGACACACTTACTAATAGCAATCTAGAAACAGACTACAAAATGTAATTTCCCCCTATTTTTGGTTTTCCTTAATAAAATAAGTTTAAATATAGATTTTTGAGAAAACTATTATGTTATAGCCCTATTTTAGATCTACCATCGGTCTAATTTTCAGACCTTAAACTTTACCTAAAAAAGCGATATAAAGAAAAAGTTGTATTCCTTCTAGGGGAAAGGGTTTGTGGTACTATTTTAGGCTGTGAACGTTGATCGTTTAACGGTAACGATTGTTCCCTTCGTCAATGGTAGTACTATGTCTAAAAAAAATTCCCATACAAATTTGAAACTAATTCGACTATTTCTAAACAATTTACAGAGTGCCGTAATTTTACGTAAGTTACAATAATTTAATTTTAAATTATATAATAATAGTCTTATTACTTACCTCGTATGTGGTAGGTATTGTATATGATATTATTGGTGAACTGATTTCTTCTTCATATAAATTTAAATATACGGTTGGCGAATAGCTTGTTGCATATGTAAGTGATAAACATCCTTTCGTTGTAGTATCCGGTGTCCAACTGATATTAAAAGGATAATTAGGTCTATGATATCGTGAATTAGTTTTTATCAAACCTCCTGTTGCTTGTATCAGAGATCCTATTACATAATTTGCTATTAATAATGGCTTAAAATTAAGCATAAGGTGCTATAATTGTCTTATGAATAAAAAGATTAAAGGTATAAAACAATCGAATAAAAACTCATATAAATACTAACTCGTACAAAAATAGATTTAAAAGTTATGTAACTAGAAGAAATTAATAGTAATTGATCATGTTAACTTAAATTAGTTGACGTAATTAAATTTGATTAGGTAGTATAATGACATATATCATTTGCCCTAAATAATACAAATTGATTTTTCATTAAAATTAAAAAAAATACCCTTATATCATAAAACACGAACTTAAAAATTTGTTGAATTGAGAAACCCAATAAAAGTAAAAATATGGTAATCCGCAGTTAAAGAGAGTAGAGATATAACTTGTATTCTAAAGGTTTTGAGCATTAACCGATAATTTTTTTTTGTTTTACCATCTACATTCTAAATTTTCAAATCACTGAAATTGGGAAAAGAAGGATTTTTTAACATACAAAAAATATTATGAGTTTTAAACTCAGAAGTCAAACATTTATAAACTAGTTTTTTAACCTATATTATTTTGTGTAAATTGTAAACAAATTATAACCCACAATTGGGACATCTCTAATATAAAGTTGGATAAATCAAAATTAAAGGTTGCCTTTTAAAATAATTTTGTAACTTTCTCTATAAATACTATATAATGCCAATCTACTCACGTGTATCAAATTCTGTGCCAAACATCCAATATGACGGGTTGTACTCAACGGGATTGTTTGTAATATAATTTTTTTTATAATACGAATCTACAATAAATTCTAGAGTATTTTCCTTTTGACTAAGAACTCTTCCATTAAAGCTTACTGGAATGCCAATTGCATTTTTTCTCAGATGTATTTCACCGTTATAGCAGCCTCTAAGGTTGGCAGTAATACCAAGTGATTTATCCGGTCTCGAGCCTAATTTAGATTTATTTAAAATTTAAAATCAAATTTATAAATATACAGTAAATAAGAATAATGCTCATAAATTTGTATTACATGTCGTAAGAGTATCGTTATTTTCGTCTAGCTTGAAAACAGTCGTAATATCAAAATTGTTATCTGAAAATTGAAAAAATACATTTTTAATTGTAAACATGTTTTGGCGTTCCCTACAAAATATACCATACCATAATGCGATTTGATTTCGGTCGTGAATTTAAGTGCTAGTGATGAATTCAATAGAAAAAATACAAATACAAATAGTTGACACTTTAGAGCCATTTTAACGTTAAGTTAAACAATATTATATTACCTAATATTATAATTCACTATATGTGCTAGCCACAGAGTTATCCGTGGCACTAACGCTTTTCGAATCGCAGCTAATGTAGACTATTTATGATAATAATGTTATCGAGTAGGTAGTTTGAACCGATTATATTTTAAATGGCACATTCTCATTTTAGTTATAGTGCTTAGTTTACATGTCTTACTGTATTGCTGGCCTTACTACAGGTTTATAAATAATGTAATCTTCAAAACTACTACACATTTTTCTTCACCTCTGTAATTCCAATGAAACTACTACCCACACTTTCCTCCAATCTCATGCACACCGATTCCAAATGTCTGTTTACTTTATTATCCAATATTGATTTTAAAGCATAATCGATTCTTAAAATAGCTAAATATGAAATCGTTGCAGAGTGGATTGAAATAAGTAGGCCTAAACCAGAATATTTTAGTCATTTTTGCCCCTCAGTAGAATTTTTAAGTGGGCCATGAGGGGTCTAATAATAGAAATAAAGTTTAAAGTTGTAAAAAAATATTGTGGCGTCAATGGATAACACACTGAAATAGGCGTGGCAGTCAACGTGTTAACTCTATTATTAACAAGCACTGATTAGAAGTATTTAATAATGAACAATTTTTAAATCGATCTAAATAGATGATTAATTATGAATAATTGAATAGGTATATGACGATAAAGCAAGAAAATAAACGATAAATTCCTATTATTTTTTTTAAAATTAATTTCAACACGTTTACAATTACCTGTACAAACGTATTATAAACAAATATTGATAACTTTTTGCTTAACTTTTAATGTGAAGTAGATTTTAGGTAGATGAATATCTAAAACGTTGAATAAATCAAGTACAAAATAACAGTTTAACATATTAATTTGCAATCATAAAATGATGATATGCACAATGCAAATAAACTGTTTACAAAAAACGTATTATAGTAGCATTTATAATATATGTAGAATTCTAATTCTAATTATCATTTTAATCTTTGAACTTTATTAGGAGGTATCTGTTGTCTTAGTTATTACTTATTAGAATTAATGATTTTGTTGTATTTTTAGCCGAATGTATTTGATAACAACTGCAGTTACATATCCGATTACACATAAATCATAAAATACATGTCTACTAACTAAAATATTATTCGGAACGTTGCTATACTTTCATTGTTTTAATCACTTTCAAGCTTAGTTACCTAGAATTCGAAACATGTTAAAAAATTCAAATCATATTTAAAATTCACAATTTTAAAAACCTCAAAACCGTATAAACCATTACAATGAGTTAGCTAAGTGGAGTCAAGTTGTTTTTTTAATTTGACAGTGATCCAAGCTAAAACAAATATTTTTTTAATAAAACTTTATACTGACATAATTTACATTACTTGATTGTAGCTTCGATGCAAAGCGAGAAGGTATTGGTTTTACTCTGATGTGTGTTTTTTTTTTATCTGTATACACTGTAACTTTTTTAATACTGGACCAATTCCTTCGAGTAGCAACTCTATAAATCGCAAATTTCATCTAGTTGGTACTTTGGGGGGGGGGGGGGGGGGGTAAAAGTTGAAAAAGTTTAATTCTTCACAGACGAAAGTTGAAAAAACGAAAAAAAAAACCGTACGAGTTTTTAAGTTAGAACTTTTACTGGCTATAATTTCGAGAAAAATAGTCGGATCGAGTTGAAATGTATAAGAAATAATTATTTGGTATGCCCGCACACGTCAGTTGTGTCAAACTTAAACTATACCCATTTCGCACCCCCTAGGGGGGGTACAATTTTTTTTGTTTTTCGGGGTTTTTAGCGGTAATTTTGAAACTTTTGGGTTGAAAATTTGCCAGTAGTTGGAACTCATATGTACCCATAACATATTAAACGGGAAAAAAATTCGGCACTACAGTTTTTTTTTAATTGCCGGGAAACTGTGTTTTCGCAGATTTCGTATATTTTAACAAAAACGCCTAAAATCTTTAAAAAAAATTGATCAAATCATTAAAACAATTTTATTTATATCTATGCAGAATGATACTATTAGGTTTTGTGCTCAAGTACCACTTTTGACTTAAAGTTTACACAAATTCAATTTTTTTTTTTTTTTTTACTTAAGTTCTTTCCGGATGATTAAAATTGAGAACTGATAACAAATTCGTAATCACCGACCCCAAAAACATATAATTTGACCACTTGTATATGTTACAGGTTTCATTCTAGATAATACACCTTCGGTCTAATTTTCCCGATCTAAATCCCTAAAACTTTGTTTCGAAAAGTGAAATAAAGAAAACAATTCTATCTTTTCTTCTATTGGAAACTGTTTAAATTCCACACAAATTTGGAATTGATTTCACTTGTTGGTTGTTAAATGTTAAAATTGCGCCAAACAAGTTTTAAAAACATTCAGCCTTTTTTCCAGGAGGAGGGTGTGTTGTTGAAATTTCGGTGTTTTCCGTGGGTAATTTTGTTGGCAAAATTTTTTATTCGAAAAAATGGTAAGGTTATACAATAAATAGAAAATATTTTCGAAAAGCGTACAATTTCGGCACTTGTGCACACACATGAGAATGTTTTAGTAATTTTTTTTTTTGCCATCCTTTAATATTTATAAATTTCAAGCAGAAAAATACACCGATCGAACGACAAAAACAATACATAACATGTATGTATGATGTTTGAATTACAAATTTTTTGTTTTGTGTTACTTTTTACGTCGAAAATTCGAAGGTCATAGCAAATAGTCAAACTTGAAAAAAGATTTTGCAAACTATTGGCAGAGTCCATCTTCAGGGCAATAGTTACGGACACGGGGATGGGGTTGGGGTGGTAATAGGGTTGGGGGTAAGAGATAGGAGATAGCGGGTAAGAGATAGGGGAAAGAGATATGAGATAGGGTAAGGGATAGGGGATCGAAAATGGCGGGTTCATCAACAATAAACAGTGAACGATTATTAAGTGGTGCATTTTATAATCTTTATAACTTGTTGAGAGCTGACAATGCAAAATTGTTTTGATTATTTTCGCATGTCACAAAGCACATTTGACGAGCTATTCAACAAAATTAAATCAAAAATAATGCGTCAAAATACAATTATGAGATCTGCGATACCAGCAGAAGAGATGTCGGCAGTTGCTTTGAGGCAATAATATATACAAAATAATTAGTTGTATAATTTTATCATAAATTGCATTTATTAAAATTATATTTAATGAAGAGTTAAAAAAAAAAAAATGGAACTTTTTTGTTATGTAATTTGTGATCCTTAGCATTTGATTAACAAAAAAATTAAAATTATACATTAGCTTAGTAGACAATTAGCATACACTTTGTGTATTGTTTAAAAGTTACATAGTACTTTGCAATTGGAAAAATAGGAATAATAGGAAATAATAAAATAGGAATTACATTTTTTGTTCCGTGTTCAATGTCTTAACTAATGGTAATGTTGACTTATAGAAGTTTAGGTCCTCGTCATCAGTGTCTCGGTTTGGTCCATTACTACTTTGTTGTCTCGAGTCCAAAAACAAAGCAAGTTTTTCTTCTAAGTTATTTTTCTTTTCTTTTTTAACGGGCGGAGGTTTCAAAACAGTTTTTTCTGCATTATTTATATTATCATCTGTTAAACTTTCATCTCCAATAGCCATATTATCTGACAATTGCGTTGCATCAACAGCCTTTGGGTTGTCGACAAATATGTTAAGACCATACGCAGGAAAATGTTTACCAGTCAATAAAAGGATTTTTAATTAAGTTTGTAATTTGTTATTTCACTAATAGAAAAAATGTGAAAAGTCAAAAATTGTTAGTTGAAAGAATTTAGGGTGTGTTTAAATATGATGCGATTTTTGTATAAACAATAAAATAATATATTATGGTTACTGGTCACTCAATAAGTCCGTGGTATCTGAGGTATTGTGTAGACGCCAAATTGTCATCTGTGATAACTATAATCATAAATAGTATAAATGTTGCCTTTTGAAAAAACCAAAAATCCCCCTTTTTGGGCTTATAAGAATTGGTGATAAACTTTTTCAAAATGTTGAAAAACATAGTACAATGTGTAGCAAAAAATCTTTTTTTCAAAATATTAATATATTCCGATAAAATGAGTGTCTTAATGAATCACCCTGTCTAAACCAGCAAGGTTAGAAAGTATTAAATTGATGTGCTGTATTTACAAATAAGCATCAAAGCGTTTATTTGAATATGATTTTATTCATTCTTATTTTTAATCATTCCTGTAGACCTGTAACCTCTCTGTCCCCTCTATGCCCTGAACTCATCATGCTCTGTCCCCATTATGCCCCGACCCCGCTGTTTTGGCTTTTTTGTGTTATTATTATTTTGAGTGTCTAAAATTAACGATAGCTGTTAAAGTTGTCCTTCAGCCTATTTCTCAAGTTATCCATAAATACTTGTTCCAAACTTTATATCGACCAGTCTTTTTTTTTTCATTCATTATGTACTGAAAACAATTTAAAACGATAATGTGTTAGGTTTTATTTTATATAATAAAGAATAATTTCTTTATTATATATAACCATAAGTTGCTCAAGTTTTTTCTGGTTTTTATTGTAAACATGGAATTTCCTTAGGTAAAATATTGTATTTCATTCTATTTACATCTAAAAACCGTATCGATATGAAATACTATTTTGAATAAAAAAAAAAAAATACTAAACAATACGGTCTATGTACCCAGATTTTCCATACTATGAAATGCGCCAGTACATTAAAGACCTTGAAGTACTGTGTGTAAATTATACACAACTATTATTCATCATTGTTTTTAGCGTTTTATGTTTTTAGGTTTCTTATCGAAGTGAATAACAAAATATGAGCAATAGCTCACACAAAAACAGTTCTCTAAATCAACACACAAGCGCAAAAACAATTTTACATATTTAGAATTGAGCACACAGTAACGCTGTGAAAAATACATTGAAAACAACGTATTTTTCAATTTCAAATATGTGGGATTCATTTTCGTACCCTGAAAGGTTCTTATATAAATCGTATTGAAGCCAATCCACTTTCAATGTAATAGGTCGGCCAAGATATTTTTTTCCACAACTCTCGCCCTCGCGA